AATACTCTTTAAAAGGCTAGCCAACAACAGCCAGCCTTTAAACCTGAGCTTTGTGCCTAAAAAATCTCAAAAATACACCTGGAACTGGCTGGGAACTGTCAGTTTGCAAAGAGATCACCACGTGACCGTCTTTTGTTGAATCAGCAGGTATTTACCCCCAACTACGCCCAAAACTGCAAGATAGGCAATACTATGCAACTCAATAACAATGCCACTCGACGCACGTCATGATGAGATCACCGATTTAGTTTAGAGGTACATATTACTGTGCACTCAAACGTTGTATACAACCTCAGGCCTTGGGCACTGTAAGAACATCTTTGGACCTAGGCTCACTTAGATAAGAATGGCAGGAAAACATTACGGTGGCTTGAGATAGCATTTTATGGCTGCATTTACAGAGTACTGGGATAAATCTTAGCAAGGTGAACCCAGACTCTTCACGGGAGGACCGAAACCCCACGAATCAAATGTTCTCATTTCTGATTGGTCCATATTCCGTCCATTAAAGGCAGCCGCCTTACCCTGCTCGCCGCGTTCCCTCTGCTCACCACCTTCCCTCTGCTTGGATGAAATCGATTGTCACGCCAATCTACAAAATTGATGAGCGACTCACGTGAATACAGCCAACCGGACCGACAAGAACAAAACCGACCCGGGAAACTTGGGCAAAAGCCTCGATCCTGTGTATCAATCCGTGAATCCGTGAATCCAGTTGGCCACGCTGATCGTCGGCGGATCGGGTGTCCACACAAGCACGAAAGAAAAGCTACTACAGCCAAACAAGCCCTTTACGATTCGCCAGATTAGAAAACTGCTGGCTGGCTTCAAGGTGCACTCCTCCGCTAAAACGAGCCTGATGGGAACGCCAACAAAATCATTACTTCTTGGTGCCACCACCCAGTGCTCAGGGCCTCACGGAGACACTTTTCCGGTCAAACCGTGCCAAAACACCCAAGAATCCAGGAAGGCGAAAGTTTGCGGCAAATCTGCTCGCCAAAAAGGCGGTGCTGAAACAGCTACAAGCAGCAGTGGTCGAAATTTTTGCCCACGAGGAAAAGACTCCTTCCCCGAGCAAACCGGGCTCTCACAGGGCGAAAAAACCTTGCAAGCGAAAAGCATCTCCAGAAACCCCGAAGACAGGAAGCAGACAATGTTGCCCCTGAGGCCTCTTTGGAGCCTTGAATCCAAACCCGGCGCACAACTATTACGTCTTCTAATCTCCCTGGTCACTCAACTTTCGACTCCTCACTCTGGGAGGCAGCGGAGACAGTTTTGAAATGCTTGTCCACAAACTGCCTCAGTCTTTTCAACAAACTCGGCGGTGTTAAACAGTCAGCTTGCCTTGAACAACCGTCCATAATCCCACTCACAGGGACCTGGCTCACACCAGACGTCTCTGACATGGAGATCTCGATAGACGGTTACTCTATTTTTCGAGTTGACTCAAAAGCGA